TTTTTTTTTTTTTTTTTTTGCGTAAGCCATTTTCGTCTTTTGGCCGCACGTTCACTTTTAGTATGGTTTCCACGCAATCCTTTATAAATGAGACCCCAGAGCTTTTCAGGTTGTTCATGGCTCCAACATAGATGGTTCTCAAATGACGTAGCGACCTGCAGATCACGTGATCAAATCACCATATTCACGGCTGCGAAGGTGGAAGAGGGGATAGTCTACAGCACAGAAATGTACACAGTCTAGATTGTTTATGTAGCATGTTTCTATTATAAGTTGTTTTAACAGTCATGGAGCAAGTTTACGTTTGAGTTGGTTACAAAACTGTGCTGCTCGTGTGTCAGAGAAACGCTCTTTAAAAAAACATTGATGTGTAAAAACACTAAGAAGTAGAACTGTCAGCAAAGCGAAGTGATTTTGTGTCTGGCGATAATCAACGACAAAGATTTCACCCTCCTCGGGATTCCAGTGTTCAGATCACTCCTACCATGGTTAGTGACCACATAGTACGTTAATTAACTTAAAAGAAAAAGAAAAAGATTGCGGACTAAGAACAGAAAAGTGTTTTGAATATTATGCAATCTACCCTTGTAAACACAAACGTAGGATACACTGACAGTATCAGATTATAATCACAAAAAGCTCCTTATTATACAGTATGTATCCATTTGGAGTATGTAAGATAGTTATTAATAATATCAGAGGAAGTCACACAGAGTCATGTCAACACAGCCTCCGTAAGGATCGCTGCTTTCAATAAAGCTAAATACCTAGATCCATGGGTGTCCTGAAAGGCACGTTTTAAATACAAAGTATTATGAACCTGGTCCTGCTCGTCTGCGTCGTTCAGTGGTCTTTTTGCATTTTTTCTCCCTTGCTTTTGTGGTTCTCCCATACTGGTTTTATCGCTACAAGCTAAATGCTAGTCCACGAACGGGTAAAAGGACCCAGATGAGGACGTCATTGAGAACCAAAGCAGGTTCTGGATCAGAGGTGCCCAAAGTGGGGCCCGCAGGCCAAAATTGGCCCGTCAAGACATTTGATTTGGCCCGCCAGTAGTTTCCCTGGTTACTAGGTTTTAATTGTCTGTCATCCTCTGTAAAAACTCTGTTTTTCCATTTTATAATTACATCCAATGATTAAATAAGGGATTGTAGCACAGATAGCTGACTTTGCCGACGTTGTATTTTATTAAGATTAAACATAAAATATAAGTAACCAAAGAAGATAATTACATTAGATTTAAGCATACATGTAGATTTGAAAACTTTATAAGACTACAAAAACTCATATTTTATCAACATATGAAGTGTCCCATGAGCCTCTGCTGCCCGAGCAAGAGTACAGACTAAAAACACAAACAAACAAAATGTGGGTGACTCCTAGCTTATTCATAAAAAGTAAAAAGACTTTACTTAAGAAGTATTTGCAWTTCCTCCATTGTATTATTGCATTTGGCCCGCAGCCCTTGGGTAGATTTTCATTTTGGCCCTCTCAGGAAAAGGTTTGGGCAGCCCTGTTCTGGATCACGACTACAACTCACCAAGTCATTTTGGGGGCTAAAACTAAGGTGGATAGTTAGCAATGACTAGCTAGGTCAACAAGGAAGATGTCAGAATGGTCAAAGTTGCAGGTTATGCTGTTTATCTGAGCTGCAGCTTTAGTTTGAGCTCCATATTACAGCTTAGTGCAGGGCTATTCAACTGGCGGCCCGTGGGCCACATCCGGACCGCGAGTGACCAAAATTCAGCCCGCCAATTGGTTCATTCATCGCTTAAGCTCAAACCCCCAGTTTTCTACTTTAATAATAATAATAATAATAATAATAATAATAATAATAATAATA